ATTACTCACCTGTTGTAGAAAGACTGGCACACCTGTGGCTGTTAAATCCTTCTTCACGGTGTGCTTCTTGAGCTCCAAGCTGAGAGTTTAAAAGTCCCGGCGAACAGCAGGAGCAGAGAGCTCAGGATGCTCAGCTGTGTGCAGAGGAAGGAGCCTGAAACCAGGTCTGGCTGTCAAACCTCGGGGGGGCCACGCCACCATCAAGCTGCTCAGAATGAGGTGTGGACAGGTCTGATACCTGCTTTCAAAGTAAGAGCACATGGAGCAGATGGTGACTTCAATTCTCAGAGGCAGGATTGCTGCTGAGGAAGTTTTTCAGCCACAGTAAAATGATTTTAGAAGAACTGATAACAACTCTGGTAGTGGGATTTATCTCTGTACTCCAGGTTTAGTCATAATCACACATTTCACTGCATGGATTTGTTTTCATTATGAATATAATAGAAACATAAGAAGTTCATGTGATGATACATGGAAACCTATAAGCTGTCCCACGTGGTTTTGGACAAGTGATGATGTAATTACTATGAGCCCTTAAAACGGCAAAAAAAAAAGCTGTGTTGTTGTCTTAAAATAATAATATGGGCATTACTATTCAAGTATGATTTGTAACATTTCAATCAGGGGGTCAGCAAGCTTATTTTAGTTACTTAACGTTATTGTATGTTCTGGAATTTAACTTGTGTCCAATTTCAATAATAATAATATTAAGCAGATCTTCATATGATATATACTATCATATGTTATCTGTTAATTTGCTCATAATTCATGACTAAATGAAAAAAGTGTCATAGTTATAAAGAAAGTAAAACAGAATCATGCCATGCTTTTATTTTGAAAGAACAGTGCAGGGTTTTTAGGGGGTTGGTTTGGGATTCGTTTGATGGGAGTGTAGAGGGGAAACGGGTGGAGCTGGAAGGATGTGCAGCATCCCACAGACATGGTGGAAATGACTTGGTGATATTCTTCAGCTGATGTTCACATTGAGACGTGTTCGGCAGACGCAGTGTCTCAGAGATGAAGTGATAATAAAATGCGAGGGTATTTCTGAGCCAAATATTTCACACAGCAGGATTTATGATAGAAAACTAAACCTTTAATCAGATAAAGTGAATAATGGCACCCTACAGATTCCTTATGGTTTTCTGCTGTCCTGACATCAAACCTGGACTCATTAATGGACCCTGCCATCAGGCCTCACCCCCACCCTCTCTGTGTTTGATTTCACTCCTGAAAAAGTAAAAAGGACCTCTACACTAGGAACAAAGCTGCTCTTTCACTGCTCGTAGGGCAGAAATTACAGAGCGTTCACATGGCTAATGTGTTGGTGCCATTGACACTCATGATTGGGATCTAGCTTGAGTTTGAGTAATGATGGTAATACTCTTTTCCTCCAGCAATACAAATTATGATTTTAACAGTTTGCTGCTCAGGTGTATGAATGCTGTGATGGGAGGCTGATGGATGCAGAGTGGGAGCACTGGCCTGACTGGATTTAAATCTGAATGGTGTACTGTAACCAGACTGCCTGGACTTTGCTTCAAAGAGGAGGGGGAGGAGGCCCCGGCTGCGCCTGTATGCCCGGAGTTTCAGCACTTGTCCCTGTTTTCCATGTTTAGAGTTTTCCATTTTTAGGTTATTTATCCACAGTCTTTGGAACGAGGTGTGTCTACAAGTTGGGCTATTAATGCTGGACCCAGAGTGAGGTAAGATGACCAAACTGTTAGACTCAAGCCCTACGCTGGAAAACTGTCATCAACCTGAAGAAGCAGCTTTGTAATGCAGTGACATAAGAATAACGGTAAACTGTGAGTTATTCATGCACCTGTGGCTGTTACAGGCACATTATAATTGTAATTCTGTCGTCTCTGAGCACACACACAAACACACACACACACACATCTTGTGTCTCTGTGAGAGTTTCGGTTCAGTCCTTGGGGATTAGGAGACATTTAACTTTATTCATAAGCTCCTTTCACTGCAAAGGCCACCTTAGACAGTGCTGTTGTCTGAGAGTTGCATGACACAGAATAAACCAGTTTGTTTTGTCTTCACCTCTGTGTGTATGTACGCCACTTTGCTGAGACTGAAATAAAACTGAGCACTCAAATGGAGCCTTGAGTGCT